ATGTGTGTGGCCACATATCTATGACTTAGTAGGGACAATATGCCAGAAATATGATACATTTTGGGGCCAATAACTGCTCCCCATCAGGAGAAGTTTTCTTTAGGTTTAGGCTTAGGTATGTATGTGTTGTCAATAGTTAGGGTCTGCGTTAGCCAATAGAAATTAATACGATATGCATGGAAGTCAATAGAAAGTCGCCACAAGGACGTGTGTGTTTGTGTGGGTTGGGTGGTGTGGGGTTGATAGTGTGTGTCTGCAAAAGTTCAGTTAAAAGAGAGGTTCATCAACATTTCCTTATTTCATACTTCATGTGAAAGTAGCCATTTCTCAGGCTGGACAAAGTGAAAATAGTGCTAAAAACATCAAAGTGGTGAGTTGACAGATCTATTATGCATTTTACTTCTTTAAATACTTTAATTTGTTTCAAGAGTTAAGATTTGTCAGACCCATAATCGTAATAACCTTATAAAGGTTACTGAAAATGGTGATAGGAAAGTTAGATTTAACATTTGCTGATCAATTTCAGAAAATGATAAATTTTTTTCAGAAACCACTGATAAATCTGTTGGTAATTCCAGGGAGAAATCTGGAATGTATCTGAGATAGTATCAAACAAACGTTGGTTTACACTGGTTTTTTTATGTATTGAGTTTCTGCTAAGTCTTTCTGATATGTCTTTTTATTTGTTTTTTTAAGTCAGGCAATTTTTGTTGGGCCGATAGAGAAACCAAACAACTTATCTTAACTCTTCACATTCTGTTTTACCTTCACATCCAGAAACACTGATTACGATCTAATAGGGGTCGTGAAGCTTAAACAACTTTCTTCTTAAGACGCCACAAGAAATGGAGTTTTCAGATTCCCTTGCTGCAGTTATTTGGATCAACATCCGTGTCTGCCTCCCGTTGACTTTTCTGCTCATGGCTTTCTGCTGCATGGTACATAAACAAACAGTTTGCTTGTGTTTTAAAATATCACTTGATGGAATAGTCACATAAACATGTTTAGTTTATTTCTAAGCTTTTTCTGCAGGTCCGATTGGATCGTGTTCCCGTCTCCTACTTCATCAACCTTCTGCTCTCCAATCTAGTCCAGCTCATAATTCTGATCGCTCTACCTCTACTTCCGGATTATTACTGGAAACGTCTAATCTCTGTCCATATCTATGCCTGTTGTGCTCTGGCCAGCCTTTACTTCAGGATGATCATAGCTTTAGAAAGGTACCAAGAACTCATTAGCATTTGGTACTAGTGTTCTTGCAAAAATATCCTTACATACAGGGTTTGTTGATAATTTTTGCTACCTTTTCTTTCTTTGTTGCAGATGTTTTTTCATCTCCCGCCCACTGTCAAACTGTCTGACACAAACCAAATACATGGTGATACTCTGTGCTTTGGTATGGGTGTGTAGTTTTGGATTTATCCCTCTTCTTTTTAAATTTGCCAAAGGACTGCTTGTGCTAGTTATTGCCATCTTTCCAGCCCCTGTCTTTATTGTTTGTCTCTTTTGGGCCCTTAAATGGATAAATACCAACATGTCAGTGTCAGCTGAAGAAAAACATGGAGATATGGGAACTTTGCTCTTGCTGTGGGTTAATTACATGGTCTCAATCTTTCCTGTAGTTATTTATTTCATATATCTTGGTGATTTTAATCGCTATTTTTTCAAGATTGCAGATATTTTTTTGACATTTTTTCTCCTCAGTCCATGTATGGACTTGATCTTGTTTATTTTCATGTGTAAAGGTCTGATTGGTAAGCTGCTGATACTGTGCTGCTGCAAGAGTGAAGCTAATGATGGATCAGATCTCAACAGGTCTTCAGTTTAAATACATCAGCAAGTGATTCAGACTGTGGTTCTAAAACATTAATAGTAGAACAAGAGAAAAAACATAATAAAGAAGTAACTTTAGTGACTAATTCTAATTTAAATAAATATTCAATTGTGAAAACAACATTTGTCGTTTTATGCTATATTCATATGAAACAGAATATTCACAATCAATAAAGATCTTTTTTACTTTTGCTATGCACTGTGTTGTTTAATTAACTTGCATGTTTGCATGCTTTACTGAGAATGTTCTTGCATTTTGATCATTATCTTAGTTTCCTGTGTCTTATCTTTATCACAGACAGGAAAAAGTAGTTTATAAAATAAGAGAAATTTTGTATAAAAACCCTTACTTCGTGCATTTTTTGGAAAAATGCATCATGGTCAAAAATTACAAGAAAAAAAACGTTGGTTTAAGATTTATTTATATAAAGGAAACCTTTAAACCTTTCATGGCTTTTTAGCAGATCAGTGAAAAAATATCAATGCTTGCAGGTTTTAAAGGCAGACTAACTGGTGGGGAGCATGAGTTCACTGATCAGGCATCAGGTGAGCAAGACAAACTTTATAACTTGTTGAAACTTAATGGAAGAAAATAGATACAAAAATATGATCTAATTAAAGGGGTTAATATTACAAATGGAGCAGCAATGAAATGCTTCAGGAACCGAATACAAAAATAAATAAAAAATTAAACCTAAAAGGATCAGCTGATGTCACTCACATTGGAAAACATAAATAATAATAATGGAAGCAGTTTCAAAACAGAAACAAAACTCAGTCCTTTTTAGCTTTTAGTCTGTAATCAGTTCAGCAGCTCAAATGATACAATTAGGAAGAGGGGCACAGGTGCAGTTGGTCAAAGGGATTTTGTGGGAAAAGATCATTTAGTGATTTAAATCAAGGATATTGATATGAAGTCCAAAAAATGAGAGGAAAAGAGTGCAATGAAGACAACATTCAAGAAAGACCCTCCTTCCCCTGTATGACTCCTAAGAACTCTTTGCTTTTGCTTAAGATGCCAAAAGTTCAGGGCATCTGGGCTCAATACACATTTTTTTTTTGGTGAAAGTTTAAATATGTCAAGATGCAAACCTTCTCAAAATGCTTCCTGCTGTATTTCGATCATATCTGAACTTCTGCCAATAACTCAGCACAGTGAGGCTCTGAAGTTAGTGAAGAAAACCACTTCTAAAAAAAGAAAAACAAATCTTGTGGTCAAACATACAGCTGTGAAAATGTAAGCAGGGATATTATTTGACTGCAGGTGTTGTCAGAGGATTGAGTTTTTAAACACTTCTAGAATACTCTCATAATAACCCCAACATCACATCACTATTGCAAAGCTGCTGATTTTAGCTGCTGGATTGCTGAGCAGAAAAACATCCTCAGCAACAAATTGGTGAGTAAAATATTAATTATTATCAGAAATAAATATTTAAATGCATCTTTTATGTTCAGGTTTGATCAAAATGATACAAAAGATAGTACTGTTTCATTTCATTTACTTTTGAAACATTTAAATTATGATTTTACCACAAATAATTCTATTAAAATATTTATGGGTCATTCCAAGGGTCTTTTGTGTCATAATGGGCTACATTTTGTTTTAACATGGATTAATACAAATTTTATTTATCTCATCATATAAGCTTGAATATGTTCTAATATAAACATGAACATATTTACATAAATAATTGTATTATAAAATAAAAAATGTGCCTAATTGAAACTTGGTTTAATTGCCTTGTCCCATTTTATAAATAGCTCAGTTTGTAGTAGTTTTCATCTAATGTTTTCTTTAGATTTCCAAATGTTTATTACTTTGAAATTATTAAAACTTAACTTAGGATTGACTCCCATGAGTTAACTGTCCATCCTGTTACCCTGATACCCAGCTTCCCCTTCCCTCCAAACCACCTTGATCCTCACATCTACAGGAAAAACCTTGTTTTCTTTTGGGAGGGAAAACATTTAAGACACAGGATGAAATTTTTTTCCCTGTTTTATAACGGTTCATTAATGTGTTCATTAATGACATAAAATCTCTGCCTTGTTACCCTTATTTGCATTGAAAATAGATTTTTTTTTCTTTTCATTTTAAGTTTTAAAGTTACTACATGCAAATACTAGTAAACTCCTCAGTGGTCATCAAGCACTATTTTGTTTTTAATGACAGGATTAGTCATTTCTGATTTTAGTGATAATTTTTCCTCCTGTTACGTCCACTGTGTTACAGTTTTTTGTGAATACAGGATGGACTGAAAACGTTCAGAGAAGTTTGGATTTCTACCATAGATTCTTATTTAAGATGGGTTTATGGTGTAATAAATATTAATCCTGTGGTCAGGGAATGCTGTGTCTCCTG